GGGCACGCCCCGGAGCATCCGGGACAGTCACCGCAAAGTGCGTGACAGCCACGATGGCCTCATAATCCAGCGGAACATGGCACTCTTCTTCTCCGGCGGGGAGAGGAAAGAGCTGAAACTGCGGGTGACTGGCCGCATCTGGAAGGAGCAGCAGAACCCCGACTCGGGAGCCTGCATCCCTAATCTCTTCAGCTGAAGTGAATAGTTGGCAACAGGATCATGTGATTCAGGTGTATATTGAAGAAATGCGGTTGCCGATTTGCTTTTCTCTCTTTACAGTTTGTGTTTGCGCCTTTTCGCTTTTTCAGCCACTTTGTTGTAACATGCTCAATATTCTTTGGGGTGGTTGGTGTTATCAAGGACAGCACGTGAAGCCTGCTGGAAATCACATGATGATCATTCTCCTCTGCCTGGTCTGTGTCTTGTGATTCCTAAATGTCTGTCATGTGATTGTACTTTAATGATCTAGTGATGTATGATTGTATTCTCAGTTGCTTGAAACATGCATGCATCAACTGAGGAACTGCTTGATACATTTGTTACATGCACCTCAACTATTTAAAAGAAAGATTCTATGATTTATTGGTGCGTTTGGTTTGAGCCTAAGCCAACCACAAGCCAAAAAAATTGGCTAGTCAATATACTGGATAAGGTTTTGGTCTCCCAGGTTTGGTCCAATGTTGGCAAAGAAAAATAATTTATAATTGGATTGAACATGCGGAAATATTAGCAATCATTCAAGCAATGCCCAAAAAATTGGCCATGAACAATTTTATTTTCTTACCTGCGTGACCAAAAAGATGATAGACCATCTATACATACTCACTTCAAGCTGAGGCACATTGCCTCAAGTTAGGAAAAGTAAGACACAACCTTTTTTTTAGGAAGAAAGACACCCGATAATGGCTACACTCTTCATTTGCTCTTCTCGGATACTCGCCCAATGAGCCAACCCCACTTTGCCTAGCTGTTGGCGCGCGGTTTTTCTATATTTGCGGTTGGAACTTGATTATTACGAGGGATGCACCTGGCCTAAAGCTATTAGGCTGGTCATAGTGGGGAGTAACTTAGACTAGTAACATACATATGTTACTAGTCTATGTTACTACCTTCATAGTGGGTAGTGTCATAGGTGTGGTAACATAGTTGCCTTCATTTATTACTTTGTAGACTCATTATGCATTGGAAACCGCTATGTGATGGTAACATATTATGTTACTCTATTTGCCTCTTTCCTCATTGACTACTTGCCACATCATCATTTTTGCTTATGTGGCATCTATGTTACTACCTATGTTACTCCCACTATGACCAGCCTTATGCATCCTCTGATTCGTACGGGCATCCTCAAGGGGATGCACCAAAAGTCCAAAACCTCTCTGGCCGTTCCGATTTGTTTGCGGACGTGTATGTGGAAAGAGCCCAGTTATCCGTCACAAATTAGACACCCAGCGACATTCCCCATTTATCCGGCCCTTTTTTGGGTTCATTTTTCATTTCCAGCCCAACTTGAATATTCGAAAGACACAGCTTAAACATACAAATACATAGTTCAAGTTTAGAAATATACAGTTTGAACATAAATATTATTCGGAGGACATAGTTTAAGCATACAAATACTTAAAAGTACTTCCTATGTTTACTTTTATAAGACGTTTTAGACTATTTAGACGGTGCCCAAAACAGTTCAAAGCTAGCTGTTCAAAACGTCTTATAAAAATGAATGGAGGGAGTACATCACAAATCTGTTGACTTACATGATGTATCCACAAAGGAAAATGTTCTACGAGAACATTTAGAAGTTATTGATGCACTTCTAGATCTCGAAGTTGCTGATGCATCTTGAGAAAATGTGCAAACCGCTATGCCTCTTCTTCCAAGAGGTGGACATATGTGCCATGGTTTTCAAAGTTAACATTTCTGTACACCATCACCCTCATTTTCTAATCATGTTGTGCACGATCATACAACTAGTCATCATCTTTCACAATGTCTTGGGATCCCACATATTTGTTGGTCCATGTACAATAGCCCATCAAGCTTGGAGCACTTCAAATGCCCTCTCCTCATCCTTCCTAGCACCTTCCTGCATTTGGGCAAAGAGAGTTTTCTGTTACCTTGTGACTCGGGGATAGTCTTCACAATCGTCACCCATTAACGGAAAATACTGGTGGCAACGTAGTACCAGATGGTGTACTCGTGCCCATAGATGGTATAGTTGCACTCGGGAGCCTTGCAACACAAAGTATTGCAAACAATGGCGATCGCTGGAGCATGTTCATGTTGCTATGAAACCCTGGCTTGCCAAAGAAAGAGTGCCAAACCTACAAGCCGTGTCATGTCACTACTTCCGGTATGATGGTGGGCTCTTGGGGTATGATCTTGGTATCGTCCTTACTAACCTACTGGATAGTTATTCCATTCCTAGTGCATGTAGTAGACCGAACCAGGCATACTGGGAAACCCTCTTGATTCTCCAAATGCCAAAATCTTGGTTGTGTCGGCACATTTGGTTCTCTCAAGTACTCTTCGCCAAACACCTTCACCACTAAAGTGGAAATCTGACCATCATTTTAATACATGACCTCTCTGCCATCCGGATATACTCATCAGCAACGTCTGTCCCGTTGTACCATGTGCAAACATTCTCATAGCAGTAGTGCATTTCGAGAGACAAGAGAACCCAAGTAGCCTGGTGCAATCCTTCTTTAGCGTGAAGTATCATATTCATTCACACCTTCACAATGCGCAAGAACACATGCCTACGCATCCGAAAGTGAGGATGAAAGAAGCCCTAATGAAATGTCAGATCGGCCCATGAATAGTCGGTGTAGAGATCGACGTCACCCTTTCCCCTCTTTTGGTTATCAGTTATCTTGCTCGACGTAGAACCCATGAAGTTGAGAACATGCTCCTCTTCCTTCTCCAATGCTCTGAGAATACTCAACATTAACATAAACTCATAGTCGTTGTCACCTTCTTCCGATGTCGACGATATGAAGAATTTGTTGTAAATAAAAGCATCATTCATGTCCATCTTTTATACCCCACAAATGTGGAATAAGAAAGCGGTCAAACTCCATTTCAGACATTTTCATTGAAAAAGTGATGCACAAGGTGGACGGTATTTGTGGCACGGCGTCTAGGATGCATCGAGAGTAGCGTCCAGACGACGAGCGCGTTCGAGGGTGATGCTCTGGGTGAGCGCGTGACTAGGTTGGGCGCGATTTGAGGTAGGAATAGAGGATGAGAGAAGGAAGATAGGCGGAGGGAGGAAGGGGGCTCTGGAGTTTGAGATGGGGCCCACATCTCATTAGTACGGACAACCCTCATTTATCCTCCACGTATGGGCTGAGTTTGGGGAGTCTGGACAACCAGGACATATATCCTAGGTTTAGTGCTGGATGACCTTTTGATTGTGTTTGTATCACAAACGACCAATACCTCATAATTTTTTCCTCGAACGATGCTTCTTTTGGAATTGGGGCGGATCATGCATATTCAACGTTTGTGTGTAAACAAACCTTTTTTTTTCCGAATAACAAACCTTTTTCTTTTGCATTTGTATTTTTGAGATTGCTCATCACAAGTGTCATGTGGTGTCTGAGGGCATCTCCAACGTTGACGCCCAAGGAGATGTCATGAGCGGTGTGGTAGGATTGGAACAACGCCTCCTACTCGCCCACGTCCACGTCCGGCGCGATGCCCGTGCCGCGGGCGAGTTGTCCTTTGCATGCCAGTTCTTGTCGAGGAGGCGGAGGTTGTAGGCCTGGTCGCCCTGCGCTTGCAGGAACGTGACGTGCCGCTCTTCCAACACCATGTCTCTGTAGTGAGCACGTGCCTCATCCATGGTGATATCGACATGGGACATCGAGGACCGTGCCGTTGGTTCGTCGTCGGGCGCCTCTTCCATTGGGGCATCCGCATCGCTGGCCTCCGGTGAGCTCGTCTGTCTGTCGGGCTACCAGCTGACTACAATGGCGGTGATCTCCTTCGTCTTCTCGGACGAGAGGTTGTCCCAGAGGGCTTTGGATCTCGAGGAGGCCATGGGGGCGTGCTTCCGAGAGGAGATAGGGAGCGGGGGAGGTTGGATGCATCTGTTGTTGAGCCTAGAGTTTAAATAGCGGGCAGATGGCAGGGCATGCAACGAGGTGGCTAATGGTGGGCAACAAACAGACGAACAGATGGCGCCGGAGCAGGTTTCTCGGCAACTGCACATATTTAATGTAAGGAGGCGGACGGACGAGCCGTCGCTTGAATGCGGGGCAGTCGCGTGCGCCGGGAAGCGGCGAGGGCGGTGCCCTCGGCCGGCGCATTGCTTCAATGTCAAAGCGACATGAGAGGTCGCATCCGCTTTGGGCAGTTATGAATGCAACACTGACACTCTGGAGCGACGGTGACCGCTTCGGGCGTGAAACAGTGCGAGCGAGGAAGAGGGTCCGAGTGGGCCAGGGGATGTCGGACGCTTGTGTGGCAGCGGGCCGAATGCACGCAAAGGCCCCCGATTTACTTCCGGTTCGGCGTTGCTATACACACGACAAGCTCATGGCCGACGCCTGCACGATCGTACGTGGAGGTCCAACAACGAGCCTGTATTCTGGGGCCATTTGTTTTCTTTTTCTAGCTGATGGCTCGCAGATCGTGTCCAATGTGTTGTCCATGAAGCAATTTCGCTTTCGGTTTGCGACGAAAATGACGTTCGTCACCATTGGGACTTCATGCCCTAACCAACGAACATGCCCTAACAAAACATTCTCTTCCACGGCAAAAAGAAGAAAAAAAGGCAGAGAAGAGTGTAAATCTTCTAACGCCGGCCGGGAACGTGAGCATTGGCCCGAACCGTCGCAAGCGACAGGCCCTCCCTCCGTCGTTTCCAAAGAAAAGATTGAAAAGATTTTAGCCCATCTGGGTTTTAGCTCCACAGCCACCGCCGCCATGGCCGTCATCCCACCCCTCTCCCTCCTCCTCCTCCTCCTCCCCTAGCCTGGCGTCTGCCCCGAATGGCGAGCGCCTCAATCTCCTCTCTGTTCCTTGCGCCACCCGTATTCCCCTGCCAGATCGCCGGCCGCCCCACCCTCGCGCCCACGAGTCCCCCCGGCCGCCTAGCCCCCGCCCCCAGAATCCGTTCCTCGACGCGCTTCGCGTGTGCCCGCTGCGAGGCCGCCCTCGTCCCGGCGTGGCGGGTCCGCGCGCCGCCCCGTCGCCGGAACGTGCTGCGCGACAAGGCCTCGCCGCCGCTGGTGGTTCGCCCTCCCAGCCACGAGGCCCTCCATTCTCGTCACCAGTCGGACAAGGACCGCCCTCCTCTGGTTGGTCGTACTGGAGAACCGCAGCCTGCTTCGTCCGATGATCACGCGTTACCGGATCCTGAGGAGAAATCGGACATTTCTGTTTGTCTAGATGCTGGTCCAAGTGGGAATGCAGTGGCTGAGTCCAACTTGGATGGTCAGAAGGATTTGGATTGGGATGCGGAGGAGAGCCATTTCTGCGGCAATGGGACTGGTCCCGTATTCAGTGTATATGAAGACCCAGACGGCAATGCAGTGCACGTTGAGGTGAATGAGGATGAGATCTTTAGCAGGTGTGCGAGTGCCGATGGAGAAGGGAGTGGTGATTTGCAGTCCATATTATCTCGTACAAGAGTAATGGCTGAGCAGTTTGAAAGTGCCAAACGTGAGGTTCCAAAGAATAGCTCACTGTTTCGGTTTGTTGCCGCTGAGAAGAAGAAATCGTGTGTTGCCGATACTGATGCTTCAGTTGTGCAGACAAACGGGACTCCTTCGAGGGCTGTCGCATGGGGTGGTTTTGCAGCATTTTGTGGTGTGTGCATCGTATTGATCGCGTCCAAGTTGATTTGGAGGAACATCAAGGTACATTTTTCTAGTAAGTTGTTCCATGCACTTAGACCAGGGATGAAAGCTGGTCAATTGGACAAGGGTAACATCAAGGTAATCAGTAATGCACATAAGTTTCCAGGAGATTTACTGGTAAGACCGCAGTTAGAGAGGAGGGAATTGATGAACAACCTCAAAAAAGCCAAAATGTCAAGAGAGCGGTTTTCTTTCAGAAATATATTTAGCTGCAGTACTGTTGCAAATGATGACATTGCAAGAATAACTGAGATCAGAAGAATGGTGACTGATGTTCACACTCTAGAAGAAGGAAACCTTAGAAGAAGCAAAGGGGGAAACGATAATTCTGTTGTATTTCCGCACCCAGTAGTTGCCACCGAGGAAACAATCTCAGCAAGTTATGTTGGACAATCCATATATGTTGATGACGTATCAGAGTTAGTCAGTAGTGAATTACCTAATATTAGTTCGTCCAATGGTATTACTGAGGAAAGTGTCAAGCAGCCTGTGGATTTTAAAAACGGAGCACCAATCATAGACATAAGTGTAAAAAACCAGTATGTCATTGGAGCATTTGAGCAGCCTGAGTACAGGTATAATGACGAGAGCACAGCTGATGCAAAGGATAGAACTTCTTTCATACATGCAACAGAAAAAGAACTACATATTTGTTCTGCAGATGATCATAATGTGAGTCCTAATACCATCAATACCCCATCACCTGAGTTTGAAAGAAAAGAACAGTTTGCTGAGGTAACTGCAAGTATTCAAGGATTAGAACCATCTGAGCTGTTCAGTAGTGACGAACAGATGATTCGTATAAATGATAGTGCTCATCAGACCATCAATAATGTTGTCCCAGAAACAACTGATGTTTTTTCACCTAATTGCTTTAATATTTCATCATCTGGGTTGAAATACAAGGGAGCATCCCTAGCCAATAGTGAAAATGATATCAATTGCATGCAAGAAACTGAAGCACCGACGACCTTTGCAAATGATGCTCAGACGGCTAACTGTGAAGACTTTGCTCATTGTGTAAGAATAATAGGTACAGAAGCAGGCAAAGATCTACTAATGACCGATATATCCACTATGAAATCACCTCAGCTAATCAGCAAAGAGCCTGTGGATTTGACGACAGATAACATGCAATCTATGCAAGAACCAGAACCATCCAACCATGATGACAAACAGATAAGTTATGCAAATGTGAGGAGCCATAAGATAGACATAGTACACAATGAGACAAGGACTAGTTTAGAAACAGTTCCACTATATGCCCTACAAGAAGAAACAGTTCAACACAAAGGTGCAGAAGTTGAAATTTTGGAGAAGCAAGTGAAAATCACGTCCTCAAACAAAGAAGCCAGAGCGTATCTGAAAAAAGATAAAGCGAAACTACAGAAAGAAATGTGCAGTGATAAGCTACCTGGAACAAAGTTGTCAGCAGAAGGTGTACCTGGAACTGGCATTGTGGTTGATCCATCAAATGGTGTACAGAAAACTAAAAAAGTGGCACGCAAACGGCTGAAGAAAGTGCAAATCAATCAGGGAGTTGCAGAAATAGTCGCAGAACAAGATGTCGTTCACAATAGCAGCATGGTTGATCAGGTAAACAGTAGCCAGAATGTTAAAAGGACAAGAAGAGGAAACCAGACAAATGCATTTCGCACCCAAGGATCTCAAACAAGAGAAGAAATTCCAGAAACAGCTCTCATGGCAAGTTTACCTGATGATGCACCAAGATCTGAAAACATGAAGCCTCTTGGTGACGCAGATTCGTCTGCTGGAGCACTATCTTCAAAGGTATCAATAATAAACTATTGATTTGCAATATCCTTTGTAGGGCTGCTACTAATTTGTTTCCAAAAGAGAATTTTAGTACGGTACTCTTTTAGCAGTATCATTCCTTAATTTGGAACTCTTCCTAAGGTCATCTTTCTAATAAGAACCAGGTAACAACAGTAGTGTAGAAGGATTAAGAAAATAGTAGGTGTCAGGTGTAAACTAATGAACTCTTGATGGGCGAAAAACCTTGTAACTAGGAAGTTATCGAATTTTCACCACATAATTATGATATACACCTAAAAATCCCGATTGGAAAGAGAGAAACTTGACACGCTATAGTGACAGGCGAGGGTGAGTGAAGCCCCGTTAGCTACAATTCTATATGTTCTTTTTTCACCTCTTTGATCTGCCTTATCACTACAGCCACGCATTGAGTGAAAAAGTGTAACTTGTGAGTAATATAGAAACATTTGCAATAACTCCCACAAAATGCTGCAGGAACAAGTGATTCTCTATGTAACACAGGATTTAACGTCTTTCAGTAACTATTCTGGAACATCCTATTTTTGATCGGACTGTACATTACTGGTTTGCTTAGGCAATAAATTCAAAGAAAACCATGACCTAATCCTTGAGCTCGTCCTTAATTGAGTAAATGCACTCATCGTCCTTGAACTCAGTCATGTAGATCCACGAACTTTATAACCAAGTATTCATCCATCTAAACTTCTTAGAGGCTGCACTAGAGGTTCATATCGGTTTTCAGTCTCTGACTGCTTACAGGTGTGTTGACTATGTAAGCATGGCATCCTTCCCAATTACATGATGGCATGTCTTCCTCATACTGCAAATTACTGGTTTACATTTACCTGCATGATGCTTAGTCTGGCGTTGGTCAATGGCTTGAAAAGTTTAGATGGATCTATATCTTCAGAACATAAATAATATCATTATCATATTTTCTCTTGTTTGTTTCTGAATCCTGGCGTTCCCATGTTTCTGTTGAAGGATGTTCTTATGGAATCTCAGCCAAGTAGGTTCAGTGCCCGTAGGACGAGGAAGGAAGAGTTAAAACTCAACTGTCAGACTTCCGAAAGGGTGGAGGCAGCCACAACAGAAACTAAAACCAACATGCATGACTATAATGTCATGCATGAGGGATCAACTGATTTCAACAAGTCAAAGACGAAGATGGGTGTAGCTGCTGCCAAGAAGTCCACAAAGAGGTAGACGTTTTCCTAAGAACTCTCTTTTCTAATAAGTCAAAGATCATATAGAACGACTGTGATTGGTATGTACACACACTTGTCTGAAACTGTCTATTGCACTTCCTTTACAGAAAATCATTATCGAAGCGTACCAAGCCAAGTAATGCAGTATCAAATAAAGACTCAAAGGAACCCACTGGTGACTGATGTGCCAGGAGATGTATAAAGTGTTCCAAGTAATGTCCTCTTTGTCTCCATGCATAGGTACTAAAGCAGTTTCTGGAGAGTTGGCCCAATTAATGTGTAGCAAATTTCTTGGCGAGGGATAGTGGCAATATTTGCAGTACAGACATAAACTGCAGAGGATAACTTCTCTCGTTAATCTAAACAACGAGTCCATCTTTGTTGTTGATGAAAGGGGGTTGAGCTAACCAGGGAGCATGGTAATGTATAGTCCAACTGGATGGTGTTCCAGTAATTTGCAAGTAGTTGATGATCTATAGGTCCTATTCCATTTGAGTTGGAGCATCATTATGAAAGTTTAGTCAACAATAGCAAAGTCTCAGGTGTATACTCCAAACCATGTCATTGTCGAAGTGGCATCTATTTTGAACAGAAGTAGCACTAAAGTAAAATGTACGTTTTGGTCTGCAAAATCTAAAAATAAATGAAGAAGATGTTCAGAATTAGGCAGCAAGAGCGGATACTTGTAATATTGTTAAAAACTAAAACAAACAACTCCATATGTTACATCAGAATTGCAACCTTACCCATTTTATCCGATTGAAAGATATTTATAAGATGCAGTAATTACAAAAGAATTAAGTTTCAGCGATTTTTTTGTACAATCCTTGTGTGGTTGCAGATACTGTTAACGCATCAGCGTATTGCCAAGATGGGACCTAAAATTAGTCCTGTTAGTGGACCAAACTCACAAGCTTGACAGCATATATTACATGGGACAGATGAACATGATATATATTTCATAGCTCAATCTGATGTAACTGGTAGACTTTTCTCTTGTTCATTGTGACAACTTGTACTTGGAATAACTATTACACATGAATATATGAGTAAGTGGATCAATACAGGAAACATTATAAGTGATTTGCACCATTAGTTTAACCTTTTCAGTTTTGGTATCAAGTTCCTAAACATGCATATTTGTTTTCCATTCGTTTTGGAACCAAATTGTCTTTAAAAGTTTAAAGTAGATACTGTAGGATTGAAATCAGTGTATGTTGTATGTTCCTTATGGAGGTTATAACTCATTGCTGTTGCTCTTAGACTGCGTAATCTGTTGGTGAAATTTGCTTCCTATGAATAGAGCTCCTTCCATGGTTCCATGCCATCATTTTTTCGGGAAAACACAAAGGATCTTTTCGTCTCTTTTCATTGAAAAGGTGGGAGGTCGGTTACAAACGTCCTAGGATGAACGATCAAGCGATCGAGCTACAGTACAATCAGTGCACATCCCATGAAGGTGGCAGCACCACTCTGAGCCCAGCTGCTCCGGCCTTTGCCCAGAAGGAGGCTTCCTCGGTTCCTCCTTGATCCGATCAACTGGCGTGTCAATGGAGGGCCTTGCGTTGTCGAAGTTCCATGCCATCATTGAGTTATTCTCCTGGTCAACAAGTCTCATTGTTGTATACCCCAAGGCACACCACAGGGAGCACTGCTGGAAGATGGCCTGGCGGCGGAGGCTTGGTTGGGGGTGGGTTTAGGTCGTAGGTGAGGCTAATTTCTTATTGCTTGAATGTACTGAATTCATGACTCCCTTCTATAGAGACGATCAACTTAGGCTCAAGAAAGCAATCTCCAACTTAAGGTAACAAACCTTGTCTAATGGGAAATGACTAATAGATAGAGTAGATATGAGTGCATCCATATGTGCTACTAGCAGCTTGTGCTGCACAAACAAGGACTCCAGGACTAGTACAACAGTTAACTGCAGTGTTAGTCAAAGCAATTAGCAGGCCTAAAAATTGTTATACTTGTTTTGGGTAAAATAATTGTGACGCCCGGGTAATTAAGCTACAGTGATCCTCTGCTAGTGATGCCACGTCACCTCGATTATAGTTGCTAATCTCGAGTTAGTTCGAAACCGATTCAAAATTCAAATTGAAAATTTGGTAAATAATAAAAGTTTTCAAACATTAAAATAAAATTGTTCGGTTTGTACTAGATATTACATAGATAATTATGGTGTAGGAGACACAGTTTTATAAGATGCATAAATATTTTGAATTGAATTAAAACAGAGGAGAAAATAAATAAAAGAAAACAAACTAACAAAAAAAAAGAAAAAGAAACCCCCCAAACCCCCGGGCCAACCGACCCAGCTAGCCAACCGGCCGGCCCAGTCGGCCAGCCCACCCCGGGCGGCCCACCGCTCCCCGCATAACCCCCCACCACCCTCGAACCCTAGCCCGATCCACCACCACACCCCCC